GTCTGGGACCACACCGCGTTTACGCTTCTTGTTCAAGAGGGACCGGTCTCCGCTCATCGAACCATCCAGCTGGAACACAACTGTGCTGTCCTCTCGCCACCGACATCTTATCCGATCCGATAACGACTACTCCCTTGGAAGCGAGTCATGATCGAAGGGCAGAATTTCGACGCACATTACTATTCGAATGGGAGAGATTCTCGCGATCGGGTTCGGCATTCTGAGCTGCCACAGAGTACATCCAGCAATTATCGGCTTTTCTGACTGAGATGATTGGCCATCGAATAGCGACCTTTCCGGTAGCCGCCGAGACAAGCCTTTGGTGTGTTGCCGGCTCTCCAACGGCAGCCTCTCCAACGGCAGCCTCTCCAACATACTGCCACTCAGACCAAATCTCCTTGAGACTCTGTCGCCTTGAGATACGATGCTGCTGATGGTCCTTCCGAGAAGTAGTAACCGATATCAGTTGCGGTGTTTCCTAAAACGGGCCAGTCATACAAGCTTTTTTCCTTTTTGGGACAGCAAACGTCAAGGATGCAAGGAACACCGGCCACTGCCGACATTGACAGCCCAGAGAAACCCCACGTTTATTGCATGAATGGTCGCCTCCCGCATTTAGGGTGCTGGAAGTGGGACAGGCCTTCAACAACTTCATTGTCACGCAGTGCAGCCATCGTCCCCTTCCAATGACCGCTGTTCAATTTCATCTCATCACACGAGACGCGCCCGTACTGCCAACAACGCTCATACAGAGTTATTTGGCGTGATAATGCGCTCGCGGCCCTTGGTTCCGCCATCCAGGCCGCTCCGATTTCCGCCGAGGTTACTTGCTGCCAGACAGCATTTCTCGTCAGCAACACCAAGGGATCAACCACAGTGGGCGCGCTCCAGAACAGGCTCGGACCAAATCGAAAGGCCGGTGGCAGATCATAAGCGACAAATGGATGCGGCGGAGCCATCTGCAAGGCACGGATGCCAGCATGACGTGCTTTCGATTGTTCGTATTGTTCGTGCAGGAGTGCCTCAGCCCTGGGCACGTTGAATCCACTTCAATGATCAACAAGTGTGCACGGGCACGCTGCCCCGGCCTTTCAGTTGGAAGATTTCAGGCATGATTTACATTTCTGCTGAAGACAAGTGCTTGAATGATGGATCTTCACCTTGGGCTCACAGCGGGTACGAGCTCAGGATTCCGCATGCAGCCCCGTGGGCCGACGTTGCAATATCTATTGGAATCGACGGACGCAAGATATATCTGGTTGATTGATCACATTTCTCTTTGAGAGTGTCCCACGCGAAAAGTACGGAGGCCGGACGTCCCGTGGGTCGTTCGCCGAGTTCTTGGAGATTCGTTAAGCCAGGTTCGTGGAACGGTGGAGCGGGTCGGCATCGTCGGGTCCGGAGAAATCGGCCGAACGGAGGCGCTGGACCGATAGCCAGAGGTCTGACGGCATGCGATTCATTCTGTATCTGTATAAGGTAAAACACTCCTTCTTTACGACCGCACGGTCGGGCACCACAATCAAATTCGAGCGAGACACTAAGCTCTTGCAGGCATGGGATAAGACGGTGCGAGACCGAAGGCACGCGGATGTCCTTCGAGGATCAGAAACACAAGACAGACTCATTTGCAGTCCACATCATGCAGAATGTTTTGGCGATGGTCTGGCTATCGTCATCTGCTCAAGAAAATAGGCAGTCTGGATATGCAGTTGGCATGGCCATCGGTTTGGATTCAAAAGTACGGATTTCGGACTCGTATACAGTTCCGAGAGATGTGGGCTCTCGAGCTGTGCAGTCAACGCGGCCATCTTGTCGCGCGGCTCAAAGATTAGCCCGAAGGACTAGAAAAGTACCATGCAAGCTTCGAATGTCAGTTTGGTGGCGATTATGAGCTGAATACCTTTCCGTCCGCTTCAGGCTCGCGAACCGGATGGGTACTTTTGCCTCTTGTTGGCGGTGGCCGCCGAAGATCTCTCCGCGAGAAGCGAGATGTGGGCTTTGGAGGACCATGCCAACGTCAGAACACACCCCGGGACGTCGACGAAAATCTCAGCCGAGGCAATATCACCTATGATCTAGGGTCGAAGAGGCAGGTATCTGCATGCTCCTAAAGTCAGCATTAGCGGGAGTCGCTGTTGCAGTCTTCCAGTGGCGTCCTCCACAGTCGGCCCCACGACATCAACGGTCCCGTCCATGCAGATGCCGGTGAGGGCTCGACAGTATTCGTACTTCACTCGAGTTGGGACTTCATGATGGGTCCGGTCTGCCGACAAATCATCAAGTCGTTGGCGACATGTTGATGCCTGGCATGTGGAGGTCGTGCAGGATACGGTCCGATACGTGAGCAGCCCTCGTCTCGCTTGACGATTGACTGAGCAAACATGTTTCATGAGCGACGGATCCTGGCGAAGTTGGCAGAGATTTTCAATGGTGTCGGCACGTCAAATGCTTGCCTACTCGGCATTGACAGGAAAATGGTGACCGGGTCCAGTCAAGGCTACATACATGCCATTGGTAGCTTTGCCGGGGATGAATCCGTGGTGCCTTCACATTGCTTTTTCTAAGCGTATCATCGTGGGAGCCATGTGGTTTAAGGGCCTGGTTTGATGTTGGGAGTCCAAGCGGCTCCAGACCGCAACCGAAAAGTTTGCTTGTCAAATATCAACTGGCGAACGGGCTTCCCTTTCTTCTTTCCAAGCAGAAGGTGTGTGGCAGAGTCGACGAAACAGGCATGTTTGTCAGCGAGAGACCACGTTTGCTTGTCATCGCAGGTCGCCGCTGCCGCCCATGTGCAACACGACGCACCGCGTAGCTCGGCTGATATCCTAGCAATGCACTGCGACCCGGCAAAATGGAATAATTCGCATGGACCCGAAATTGACGAAAACCTTGGTCACACTTGCATTGCATCCAGTCTCATCTTCGAGGGCTGCAAAAAGCAATCTAACGGCCGCCACAACGCTGAAGAGCGCCTCGCGTTGATGGGCTGGTGGCGTCGACGCATATGCAACGAGCAAACATTTTCTTCTTTGCTTGAGCTAGCAAAGGGGAAAGCACCTCGGAAACGACATGTCATTTTGGACATTTTGAAGAGAAGCTTTTGCGAGTTAGTGCGCCTCGGTTGGTTGAGAGCGCTGGTTGGACTTTGGCGCCCGCTAGACCTTTCGGAACCTCGCCTACGACGCGCTACTCCTGAGATGGTCGGTCATCCACCGACCACCGAGAATCCTCGGCTTCGAAGACGATGCGCCATGTTTGCATACGACGCGTGGAGAGAAGCGTCTTATTGCAATGTTTGCGTATCATTTGACACCTGTCACAAATGATGAAAGAGAGGGGGCCGTTCGAGTCTTGCATATCAAGGCCCCCACCCGAAAACCTCGTCTGTTGGTTGGTCCATCGAGATCTTCTCAAGATCTCCATCATTGGAGCTGAGAGTGGACTTGGCCGGTGGAGGTCACATTGACAATCTGACAATCGCGTGTAGAGAGGACTTTGATCCGCTGAGGGCTGCCAGTTCAAGCCCGGGCAACCAGGCCACCGTCAGGGGGATCATGCGGGGTGATTCGGGGGCGGTTGATGAGCTTTACAGTGCAAACCCCGGGGAATCCCGATTTGGGCGCCGGCGACAGGTGATGGCGCTGAGCTCTCGTCACCATTGTGTACCGAAGATGAAAGCGACGGAGATGAGGCTGGGAGATCGTGGCGTGACGAAACACTGCAAAAATGTGCCTCGACTTACGGGCTCTGTCCAGAGACCCGGTGTTGGAAACCACTGTGGCCAATGCAGGACCCAACAAACTCTTTTCATCGACCAGTGCTGCATTTCTCTAGCAGAACCAAGCGAACACACAGCATGGATGTCTCTTCGCACATCGCTCGTGCATCAAGTACTTTGTACGAGCAAGTCGGCAATGGATGGGACATTAAGACCACTCCACCCGATCCTTCGGGCTCAAGTTGAAACTCAGGCAAGAAAGTGTGTGTTATGGCAACTCCACCACGTTGTTGGTGAAAGAGTCAGCAAAAGTCTGTTTCTGATGGGCTGTTTGCCTAAGTCGCAATTGAGCGGCAATCTCTGAGATGGGATTCGAGTCGACCATCATCGCATCCAATACCCGTTTCCAAGATCTGAACGGATACTCATCCCCAATTCAGTGGGCAGAAAATGAACCAGAAAAACACGGCTCGCAGACTTTTACCCCGTCGGAATTGGGGTCTGAACATCCGCCGAACTTCCAACTGAAGGAAAGTCACAGTGTCTGTGGCTCTTTTCCCTCCGACCCCCGGCTGAGTCTCACTCGTCGTTTTCTCTCTGCGTCTCCCCCCAGCAGCTGCAGTACAGAGCCGATGCGTGCTGCAAGCTGCACAGCGTTTTCATGGATTAATATTGAGATAATTGGGCGCGCCGTGGGCCCCAAATTAGGCAATCCGGAAGCCGCAAATCTCATCATACGAGTTTGCAATTGCAACTCGGCAATTACCTGCTGTGGCGTGTTGTTTTCTCCACTGGACATCGCGTGTCACTGACGTCTGTTAGGGACAAGGGACTAACAAGGGGACCACACAAACCTCTTCCAGCCGCCTCCATCACCGCCCGGGGTTTCCTGTCCGATGGCTCAAAATTTTCTCTGCTCCAGCCTCCGGCCAGCGCGCAGGATTGACGCGATGCGAATGGACCAGTGAGAACTGACAGACAGACTGAGCAATACCCACGCCCGGCTATGGCCTCCACGAGCCCAATTATTTTCGCCCTTCGTGTTCGATCGCGGCTCCATTGATGCTGCTGCAAGTCACAGTAGACTCCATCCGCAATCATCCCCTTCCTCTCGACCGCCGACGATGAGCTTGACCAAAGACCGTTGCAAGCCTGCCTACGGGATATCCACCGTTAACCCGCCTCTTAGCGCACTTCTAGAAGGGGTGCTCCCGACCAACGCCGCCTCGGTATGCTCGGCAGCTGACGGGCGGTGTCCCACTGGAGAGGCTTCGGGGTCATGCTCAGGGTCCAGTCGGCATCCTTGCTGGCGTCTCTTAGCCCTCCTGCGGACCCCTGGTCTCCTGGGACGCTCCTGGGACCCCCCGGCCTTGTACCACCGACCCAGACAGGGCTGACTCTCAACCGCTGTTCGGTTCATCGCGAACCACCGTTTGCCATTGGCGCTGTTCATGGACAACCGTCAACGGTACGGATGTACAAGCTGCCTTCTCCATGGGCCTCTCACCCTTGGATCCATGCATGGGGGGCCCCTTGGGCTGTCTTCTAGTGAGGAGCCCAGCTTTCTTCTTACACTACGGCATACAAATCATACGATGTATATCCATCGAGACGGCGGTGCCTAATTCGAAGCCTGCAAGCCGCGAGGACTTGAACACACGCGGGCCTGCGAGTGCGAGACGAAGGGGACGAGGGGGAGGGGTGAGGCCGGGCGACCTTCCATGAGGTCGGAGTGGTTCTACGGAATCCCAACTGAGACCGCATCAGAGAGAGAGGTTATATATCTTTCGTGGGCGTCCCGAGTCGAGCGCTCTCAAGAGAGTGGCTGCGTGCTTGTTGTTCCAAACCCTTGGATCCGGCCCTTCTTCTATTTGGGATTTCTACCATTGTCTGTGCCATTTTTTGATACCCCCTTCCCATCCGCACCCCTGTTCACGTCGGCGGCCCCAGAGATCCATCCTCCATCCCATCATCCCGTACTCCTAGATTTACAAGCAAGCAGCCGCAAGGCTTCCCTTTTTTGGTTCGAGGGACACCGGCGATCAGCTGAGGATTCGAACTTCATCTTCAGCGAATTGGGGATCCCGACACCACAAGCTTTTCCTTCGCCTGATATTCCGTCACACAGTCACAGTCATGGCCTTGACATACAAGCAGTCACAGCTGGTCAGGGGGACCATCCCCGCCCTCCGTGAGCACGGAGAGACAATCACATCCATCTTCTATGCCAACATGCTGCGCGCTCACCCTGAGCTCCACGACCACTTCAACAAAGTCAACCAGGCCAACGGTCGTCAACCACGCGCCTTGACGGGCGTTATCCTCGCTTTTGCTTCCAACCTCAACCACATCAGCGAGCTCATTCCCAAGCTCGAGCGCATGTGCAACAAGCACTGCTCGCTCGGCATCCAACCCGAACATTATGACATTGTCGGCAAGTACCTCATTCAGGCCTTCGGTCAAGTCCTCGGCCCAGCCATGACGCCTGAGATTCGTGAGGCTTGGACAAAGGCCTACTGGATTCTTGCCAAGATGCTCATCGGCCGTGAGGCCCAAATGTACCGCGAGTTTGACGACGACAAGTGGAAGGGATGGCGCAAGTTCCGTATCGAGCGGAAGGTTGCCGAGACGGACGACATCTTCTCCTTCTACATGGTCCCAGTAGACGGCAAGCGTCTCCCAGACTTCTATCCTGGCCAGTACACCTCCCTCCGCTCGACGATTCCGGGCCTCGGACACCTGCAATCCCGCCAGTATTCTCTCAGCGACTCTCCTCGCCCCGACTACTACCGCATCACCGTCAAGCGTGATCAAGGTGTCAAGGTCGGCAAGGGCCAGGCCGTCTTCAACCTCAACCCGGGCGTTTTCTCGAACTTTCTGATCGACGAGAAGAAGCCTGGCGACATTGTGGAGTTGACACATCCCACAGGCGACTTCTTCTTCGACACGCACGCCGCCGGAACTCTTCCCGTTGTCCTCATCTCTGCCGGTGTTGGTGTCACGCCGCTGATGTCCATCTGCAACACCATTATTGAGCGCCAGGCCGTCCGCCCTATCTCATGGATCCACTGCTCGGCGCGCAACGCCCCCTTTGAGGAGCACATCCGCAAGATTGCCTACAGCCGTGCTAACTTCACCACCAAGTTCTTCCGCTCCCAGATTGCCGATGTCGAGGACGATGATTCACTGTCTTCGTCAAGCGACTTTGGCCTTCGCATGGACCTTGCTCGGATAGACCCTGCAGAGCTCTACCTCGGACACGGTGGTGCCGAGTACTATATCTGCGGTCCCGAGATTTTCATGGTTGAGATGTCTCAGTACCTGCTCGATCGGGGAGTTGATCCCGCCAGAGTCAAGTTTGAGAGGTTTACTACTGGCGACTTGGAGATGAAGCACTAAAGGCGTAAAAGCGTTGGCTACACAGTCGCACCTTGGCCGACTGTGCATTTGATTTAACGGGAGAACGGAACAGGACACTGAGGATTTTGGTTCAACGAACGTGGCGGAGTTTCATGAGTTGAGAAACGGTCTATCTGGGAAACGGTTCAATGTTTAAGCGGCCACATTAATGTTTGGTCAGTTAAAGGAAGACACGGAGGATGGGTGGTATTCATTGATTTTGAAGTATCTGGATCGGAAGGGTCCATCAAGCGTGCCCGTTTGCGCTGTAGAGAAAAAGAATCTTCTTGCCATCCACTGCCGCTACTCACCTACAATTGACTCCAAACGCTGCGAAAGCGGACTTTTCAAACGCCATCATGGCTGTTCCCTATTCGCCGCGCAGCAGTGTGCAAAGACGTGATCGAAAGCGAGTATTTTGGTGCCGATTCAACACCAACAATCGTTCTCTATCCAGCAAATATTCGACATCATACGAGAAAAACTGGATTGGGCGCCGCATAATGCAACCGCCTGACTCGTCCACTTTTTATTGACGCCTCTGGCCCCCCAGAGTTCTCTACGGGGTACCTAAACTGGGGGCTTTTGGGGCGGAGAAGAGCTGGGGTTTTGTCCCCCGGTGGACTTCGGAATACCCATTCAACCTGGGTCTTACACACACATATCGCACTCGACTTTTATATCCACGCAACTCATCACGAACGTCTTCCGTTGGTTGGGGGGTTGGCCTTCGTCCACAACATCCCATGATTGCGTCCGACGTCGCTCCGCAAGCGAGAAGGCTTGATGGAGTATTTTTACCCCCTACATGGGGCACTTGCGATGTCTGGCCGATGCGCAGCAAAATGCGATCTCACGCTTCCCATTGCCTTTCCCATCGGAATCGGGATTTCGATCAAGTGCGCCGAAGACGTACGGATACATACGCACACAACGCAGCGGCATAAAAGGAGCAAAGCCGCTTTGCCGGGTAACCTCCGTGATGACGAGTGAGCATTGCTACCTAGCGTGAGGCACAGCCTACCACAGCCGAAAGTCTCCCCTTACTATTGATGTCAGTCCCCTGCGAGATCGTGGGTCAAGTTACTATCGGACTTCACAGAGAAAAGTCGGATTCCATTCTCTCGACTGTCCCGTTCTGCGGCGACCTCTGCGGCGCGGGCTTGACTCGCCAGGAAGAACCCGCTCATCGAGACTGATCATCGACGATGACGCCAGCTTTTCATGTGTCCTCTGCAGGCTCCCCTCGCTCCCGATGCTGCTCATTTTGTTGCCCTGCAGCGGGACCTAGAGCTAGTGCAGTGCTGGGAATCCGCAATCCGCTCCGTCGGCAAAGGCCAACGGCTATGCCGCCGTTTGAATCTTCAACGGCGTCCGTGCCAACCATACTAGATCCCGCTCGCCCGCTGGAAAGGAGCCCGCAACAGATTATCTCTTCATATTAAATCCTCCTCGAAATTCTGCTCTCACCTGCCGGTACTTGGGAGAGTTTTCTCACGGCCATGGGGGGAAACAACAAAGGAGAAAAAATACCAAGGAAAAATCCCTCTCGCTTGATTAGACTTTGGGAGTGCACATGGCGGTCAAGAGGAGAAAAATTCCCCGGTGATATCGCAGTAAACGAAGAAAACGTCAACAGCCAAGGAAACCTTCCCAAGTGAAGGAAAGGGGTGCTGTGTTAGACCACAGGGGCAGAGGAAACAAGTCCCAGCAAACTCAACTCAGGAGCCAGCTCCGGACACCGCCTGCCTGCTCTAGGGTCTTCGTCCACCCATGCGTATTATCCAAAACCTCATATAGGGAAACATTCGCCGCGGGACGGCGGGTTCGTCGGAAGACAGGTTGCTCAACAAGGTGTTGTTTCCGGTAGCATTGCGGCGCTGGGGGGCGCTGTCGCTGTCGCAAAACAGAACACGCGCGCGCTGAGCTGAGCCTCCGTATCGGGGGTTGTGCCGTCGGTGACTGACCCTGAAAACCCAACCCCCGGCCGCATCAGATGCTCATCAGGCGCCGACACGACGCTGCAGGGGCTCTTGGAAAAGGGCGCTGCAAGGAGCATTCTTTGTTTCTTTTGGTTCGTGCACTGTTATGAGAGTCGGAATAATGGCATGTTTATCGGCAGTGCGTTTCCCTATTTGTGATTTGCGATCAAAGTTTCTTTTTGTGTTGTCAGAGGTTGAGGTCGAAAGAGCCAGGCCGCTGGGGTTTCGGTCGGCAGTTGGGAGGCTCGGTGTAACCCTTCGGCTGGATTAGTGAACTGCGCAACGTGGCGTCGCTGCAACGTGAAGTCGGAGCTGTCACTTTGACAAGCACACCTCACCGCTCATGATGAAAGTATATTTTTGTCGCGAGAAAAAGAAAATCACGGGACCATGGAGTCGAGCATTCCGAGCGTCTCGGGTCATTGATGCTTGGCATGCCCGGACCTCGCTGGATGATGTATTTGATACAATCAGTTGAAAAGACTGGAGCAGCGTAACCGGGCAGCAAATCGCCGGTGACTTGTATGTCACTCGTAACTTGTCATATTTGAACCATTTCGGAGTTTAAGTCTTCTAATAAGTCCTTCGATCTAACACCCTACGGGTCCACATGTATGCTACAACGGCAGGATGCCGACCACCTTGGATGGCAAAGCATGATGTCCCCTTTTGATCATGTTCCTTCAACATGAGTGTCAAAGCGCTGTGTTTAATAGTCATATTGGCTCTCCAGGCTCAAAATTGTACAGTGATACGGCATAGGTTCGCCGCACTAATGTCCATATGAGCGTCTGATAGGGATGCTGGGTCTGTGTAGTTACGTGGGGTTGGGAAAGGAGTATACGGTGACAGGATATGTTAGTTTCGAAGCGAATGATGCGCACTACAATTTCGGAAAAGTTTTACTGCACATATGTAAACATGCTTGCCCCCAATTCCAAATGACATGATTCGAAATGCCAAACACTAGATCGGCTTATGTTAGTAGCAGGTGCCATCTCTCGGCCATGTTCAAAGTCTATCTGAACCTCCAGTGAGGTTTGACTATCTTCTTCATGTCTGTATTTGACAGGCTACAAACGGATGATTATCGAAAGATACCAAACATGCATACAGCTGGACTTTGGAATACTTAATCTTTGGTGATGGTAGTTCTAAGGAGTCAGAAACTGGTACACTCTCATCCTGGCATTACAGGAGAATTAACAGTTGTTAGACTGCACGAACTGCTATTTTGACGACTGAAGAAAAGTTTGTGGCACTGCGAACAGCAGAGATGGTGCAATATGGCCGACTCGGAGCCGAGGTCAGTACTCATACGAAGCGGCGTCTACTATTACACAAGATCTCTCGCAGGAGAGATGAATTCTGAAGAAAGATACGAGTTACTCAGGTCAGAACATCAAAAGCTGGTCAGCAATGATCCTCCTCCATCCTTTTCAAAATTGACGTTTGGCCGCTCAAAGATCATTGGTCGACTGCTGTTTATATCCAAATCCAATGTGAACAAATCCAATTGGTTAGATTTCCGGGAGTTCACCGGTGCTACTATGAGGCACAGTTGCGGCCTAGAAAGGAATGCGATGAAGGATTCGTATGGAGGCCTACGCCGTATTGGGTTTCCCACTGCCAAGCAATTGGGGCTTACTGCACACCGCCGGGGAAGATTACGAATGGTAGGTAAGAAATAAAGTCTTACTTGCAAAAAGGCACTACTTTTGGAAGTAGAGCTGCATGTCTTTGTTTTGCAGGACGGAACGATCGGCCCACACGGGTATGCCTTGTGATTTGACCATGTTGCACCACACAAGCTCTGTGAAACGCAAACACATGGACCGCTACGATGACATGGCGATTAGTCCGCCATTAACGCCAGTGTGAGGCGCTCTCTGATCCTAGAGCTGAAAATACGAATGTAACGTCGCGCTGGTGCGTGAGTACAGGATTGCGGTCATCATGACCATCCATAAAAGCCTCTCTCCCTAGCTCTACATTGTCTGTGTTGTTATTCAAATCCAGAGTTCCGACTTAGCTCTCGACTTACCTTCGATTGAATCCCGATAATCCATCTCAACTCTGATACCCAAACATGTTTTCCACCAAGCACCTTGTCTCCCTCCTCGCTATCGGCTTCCATACCGGAATCGCCGCTTGCCAAGAATACGGATCCTGGCATGTCCAGATCAACCTCTCTGGCGGGGCTCAAGGTCACAGATTGGGAGAGCTTCATGCTGTTCACTCAAGCACACCGAATGAGGAAAGCTACGCAAGATGGCTCTACGACCCCGCGGTGGGATACACTGTCTACACGGCCGAGGACCCGACCTTGAATAACACTTGGATCGACAGCGTTGGTGTCCATAGTACGTATACCCTAAGCTAGACAAACTCGACGAAGCTTACAGTCTTGCAGCTTTTGAGATTCAGCAGGAGGTTCTCGGCGTTCCCCTGAAGGGTTCTGGGCCGATCGAAATGTTTTTCAACACCAACGGGAACGGTAGAAGCGCCTTTGGAAATGCTACTATCCCCTCCCAATTGGACAATTGAGATCTTGATGTGTCGACAGTCTCGAATCCAAGAATGAGTAAGACACAGTCTCGCAGAGTGGCAGGTGGTTAAGAAATCATGAAATATTCAAGGGGCATGGACAGGGTATTTGATACATGTAATACTATGCATAGTAATAGGTCTCAAAATCAATAGTTGGCCTAAGAGATTTCGCAAGTAATATCGTCAACACATTTGGAGACTCATAGGGTCAGATTATTAAATATTTTGTGATGCGAAAGTCGTCAGTGTCACGACATCTGACAGACCGCAGAGAAGCACTCATAGCGGGTTTATCCGCCCATTTACCTGGAGTGTTGCTGGTCTCCATTGCGTTAACACCTCAACACACAAAGGATGTGGGCCGATCGGCCCACGGCCGTCTCCCAGATCTATCCCTCTGGCGTATGTCAGAGGCGTTTGCCCAGAAAGATCTTTGTGCCGTGTAGACGGCTCCGCACCGTTTTCCAACAGAGTCCTCGTGATCTCATGATACCCGTTTATAACCGCAAGGTGGAGCGAGGTTTGGCCACGATCGTCTCGGATGTTAACATCAAGCTTTTTGGAGACATGTCCTTGAACAATGTCTTTACGCCCATACTCAGCGGCAAAATGCAGCAGTGTCTTTCTCTGGGTTCCGTAGTAGCGCTCCCAGTGTGAATCGGGTATGTGGCAACCTTGGTCCACCAGAACCCAAGCAATATGCGGATATCCACACCACAGCGCCGCTTCTAGAACGTCCGTGTTAGACTTCTCGAAGTAGAAGTTGATGTCTGCCCCTTTCTCTATGAGAATATCGACAATTATTTCAAATCCAACGCAGGTACTCTGATGCAGACATTCATTGTAGTCCTGCCGTACCCAACGCGCGTCGACCCCATGAACAAAAAGCATTTTGACGATGGCCTCAAATCTCTCAACGACATCTTGTTCAAGATCTTGTCCGTATTTGTTACGCATCTCAAAACGGTCCATATCATAGCTGACAATGACAGCCCGGGTTAAATACCGATATTTTCCCCCTGGCGAAGTGGCATCCGCACCACTTTGAAGGAGCAATTGGGTGACTTCCACGTGCCCAGCCTGCGATGCCGCGTGAAGCGCATTGCTGTACTTCCAATTCTGCCCTTCCAACGTAAGATCATACTGTTTATTAGGGTTGGCACCAAGCTCAAGCAAGAAGTTTATCACTTCGATGTCCCCTTTTGCGGAAGCATTTACGAGTGCTTCATTGAAATCAAGCTCCTCCGCAGTTAGGCTTGCTCCTCGATCCTGTAAGGTTTGCACAACGTCTCGTTTTCCAGTAGCGGCGGCAGCCTGAAGTGGACCTATGCCGGTTTCCTCGGTCAAAGTCCCCATTGTGTCGAGAATCATCTCAATGAGGCAATCGTCATATGTGTTTATGGCATCCTTGAGGGAATTGCTGTCGAGTGAAATACGATTCTGACAAATATCAAGTATAGTTTGAACGGCATGTGTGTGTCCCTCACGAATTGCCGTAGATAAGCTCTCGTCCAAGTCTTCATTGGCTCCATTGTTGATCAGGATATGAACGATATCCTCGCGGCCTCTACGACAAGCGCTGAGAAGTGCATTCCCATGAATACCGCTGGAAGAGTTGGCACTTGCTCCGCTTTCCAGGAGTAGCTGTACTATGCTAGCTTTGCCGCCGTAAGAAGTGGCTGCCAGCGCACTGCCGTAACAACCACCTGGTGCGTTTACGTCTGCGCCGTGGTTGATGAGTAACAACGCCGTGTCCTCGTAGCCTTCGTGACAGGCTGCTTGAAGTGCGTTTCCGTAAATAGCGGGAATGTTGCCATTCTCGTCGGCGGGAGACCATAGCTTTGCAAAGTTTTGGGGCATCTCTGACTCCTTTGGATCTTCATGACTTCCGATGTTGTTGTTTAGGTTGGCGCCCTGATCAAGCAAAGCATTGATGACCTTCTCATGGCCCTTGCTCGATGCTGCTATGAGGGCACTGCCGTAGATCGGAGATGATGCGTCGACTGGGGCTCCTCTTTCGATAAGGAGGCGTACAACTTCCACATGCCCTCCGTATGAAGCAGCCCCTAAAGGGTCTCCATACCTGGTGTTGTGTATGCTGATATCGCTGCCGCCGTCAAGCATTGCCTCTACAAGGGCTACGTGTCCTTGGTAACACGCTACCGGTAGGCCAAGATTGACGTCTACACCTCGATGAAGCAGCATCTCGACGGCGTGCATGTCATTGTCCAGACAAACAATTTCCAAGAAGCTATGGTTCTTGCAAGATTCTCCTGCGACGGTATGGAGACTCGCTTCGAAGTCGAGAAGCATCTGCACTGACTCCCAGTCGCGCATCTTATAAGCTCGAAGCAGGGGGTCGTCGAATCTATGACCGATTGGATAATGGCGCCTAGCCACTCTCCCCGTATCGGCGCCCCGTTCAAGCAACAGCCGTGGAATATTTCTGTGTCCCTCGTAGACAGCCACCTGTAGAGCCGTGTCATTTGATCTTACAGAATCAGCGTCTGCGCCAGTGTCGAGTAGTAGGCGCGCAAGACTCTCTTCCCCATGCCGACAAGCACTGAAAAGAGGGCCGCTCCCACTGTTTCCAGGCCGTGCTTCATGTGAATTGACGTTGGCGCCTCTATCGATCAGGAGACGTACGATATCATCGCGACCGGCTCGAACAGCACCTTCCAGCGCCGACTCGTCTGCGCTCTCAGAGTCGTTGACATCGAATCCGTGATCGAGCAGCAACTTTATGATCTCTACTTCTTGCTGACCATGGGGGTTGTAGAAACGCTGGAGAATGCCATTATTTTTGGCCCAAGCATTATTCGGTCCCACGCCTGCATCCAAAAGCATCCTGACGGCGCCGACATGGCGGTTCTTGGCTGCTACCCAAAGAGCCAACATTGCATGCCCATCTTGCTCCTCGTCAGCTAATGAGGCACAATCATCTCGCTCTGTGCTTCTGCCAACAGAAATACCGGCGTCGAGAAGGATCCGCATGATACGTTCGTCGCCATAGGCCGTAGCAGATTCCAGGGCATCCCCAATCTGATTTGGCAGCAGCGTCAGACTTGCTCCGTGCTGCAGTAGAAGAGAGACAATCCTCACATCACCATACGCGGCAGCAGACTCGAGTGGTGATTCAGAGTATTCACCCAGTCCGTTTACGTCAGCGCCCTTGTTGAGAAGAAGGCGAACAATCTCCACGTGGCCGTATGAGCAAGCCAGCTGGAGCACGTTGACTGACATTCCACCTGGAGGTTTCATGACTGCTCCCCAATCGAGCAACAACCGAACGACCTTCAGATGCCCATTGCTGCAGGCCCATCCGAGGCTGGTCTCGTACTCAGCAGTCATTGCGTTAACTTCCGCATTGGCGTCCAACAAAAGCTGAACAATCTCGACGTAGCCTCCGCTGGGGGCCACGTGTAGAGCTGTCAGATCGAAAGGGTCCTTCAGGTTTACATCTGCTCCATTTGCGATCAGAAGATCCACGATCTTGATGTGTCCTTTGTCTGAGGCTACCACGATTGGGTAACCTTGTCGTCCGCCTTGTTCATTGACGCCAACATGTTGCGAAAGCAGGCTTTTGACTTCCGAGACGAGGCCATACAAGCAGGCATAGTACAGACCCGAAGCGGGTTCCCTGATCTTGAATGAGGCCTCTGGATCAAACATGACAAACCAATTCTCATAGGCCACGTTGTCAGATGACAAAAAATCGAGAATCAGGCCACCATTTTCAGCCCCATGGCCGAGAGACCGAGATGCAGCTGCGTGGCCCAGCCATGATTGTGCGCTATAGCTGGCAAATGGAAATGCTTCTTCGATCTGATGTTTTGTCATTGCATCTTTGATCTCTGAAAGATATGCCACGCAGATGTCAGCAAGGGACGCCCGGGAAATGGACGGCTCAATGAGTGGCCGCAGCTCTGCATGGAGCCGATCCGAGGTCAGATATTCCTTCACTGAGAAGTGGGCGAGTCGCACTTCTTGCACTTCTTTGTATCCATCGAGCTGGTCCCTTGCGCGCTTACGCGTCCGCGCCAAGAGCAGCATACTTGGGCAATAGAGACAGATCTCAGTAGGTCTGGGCATCCTGAAGGCCGGGTCAAACTTGGGAGACTCGTTCAAGTTCACCGCGAGAGCGTCAGCGAGCTCTTCAACTGTAAATGGTCTGTTAGAGAAAGCAAGGAAGCGGAGAACGGTGGTGGCATTGGATTTATTCTCCTCTGGTATGTCCCGAATCATTCGATGATAGGTTTCATCGAGATCCCTGGGTAGAGAAGACAGCTCTTTGAGAAGAGTACGATGATCAATGCACCTAGCTAACGAACCGAGTTGACAGGCTGCCCATCGGAACCTAGATCAAATCAGCGCTGCTGTTTCGTGCGGCTACTGGTAGACTTACATTCCATCAACTTTAGCCATCAGTGTCAACTCGATCTGTTCCAATGTTGGGGTCCCTTGCCACCTGTCGAATCTTCCACCTGGTCGAAGTTCATGGCGAATATAAGCCTGGATATCATCTTGAATAAGACTGTGCTGAAGTGAAATAAAACACTCCTTCTGGGCCCATTCGGTAAAAGACCTTTCGATATCTTCCACTGATCGGCTTGTAACGAGAATATGAGTAGACCCTACGGTATCCTGCTTCAGTTCTTTGATAAAGGAGAGAATACCGTCTACATAAGATCCGTCTCTGGTCGTACATTCATCAAGGGCGTCAATGATAACCCAAGTCTCGTCTGACTGATTCAAGATTTTGACGAGACAGTCATAGAGCTGCTGGTTTGTCGGCTGCTCATCTCTTCGCGCAGGACGTGACTTCCATAGGTCATGTATACACGCCTTTGAGGCCTCGTTCTTCTGAGAACACTGTTGGATCAGAGAACGGAGCAAGCTGTCGAGAGTCTGTTTCGAACTGTCGTTGAAGTCAAAGCAGAAATAAGCAAGGCAAGCCGATGAACAAGTAGACCGAACGTCTTCAATCAAAGTCGAGCTCAGAACTGTTTTTCCGCAGCCCGGGATTCCAGATACCCAGAGAAATGCACTCCGAGTTGCTTTCCAGTCCCGATATATCGGATCCTCTAGAAGCCAGGACCCGGTTCCCTCGTGGTGACTTTGCATAGCCAATTTGTGGTTGCTTGACTGATCCGGCGCTCTCAGCCACGACATCACCTCATCGTCTTCCCGATTACTAAACATTGTCTCTTGGAAATCATGCATTTCTTGCTTTACTAGATTTAACTCAGCGAGACTTCACCTGCCGGGTCTCGACTTTCCACTAACCTGACTCAACGGCGTCGGCTAACTTCTTCTCTGCTTCAACCTTGCTCGGCAAGATCTTTCCTAAAAGGTCCTTGGCATAGGCAGCCGCAGTCATCGCGGCGTATCCATGCCAGTTATCGTTCTTGTGGGTGTCCGAGTAGTCGCAGATACCCCTGACTACCAAACAAGGGAAGTGGTTCATAAGGCCTGCGGCTTCCATCTCGAAGCAAAGCACGCCCTTCTCCGCTGCGAGACGGTCCCGGACTGTGGCATCTTTCATGAGCTGATTCGCAGACGCGATAAGACCGTAATGAACAGCGGGGTCGTCATCGCCCTCATCTTCGTCTCTCTCCGCGCGGAGGACGATATTATCCGAATCTGTACCGCAACCCGCCGTGCAGTCCCCAGTACCGCTAGTGTGAAGGTAGTTCGACTGATAGAGAACATCGGTGCTTGGGTCTGGCCGTCTATACTTCCGGAGTCTCTTGTTCTTCCCCGTGATATCTGTGACTGCCTCTTGAATATTGTGGCCTTTGCGTTCGTACTGCGCCTGCAGATTGGTGACCGCAGTTCGGACGACGTTGGGAGGCTGGTCCAGATGTCTCGTGTGCTGGAAAGCTTTCTCTTGAATCGTCTTGCCAAAGTCATATTCAAATACACCGCTATTACCGCCGCGAGGGGCGCTGACGACAATATCACCGAGGCGTATGTCGTTCTTCGAGCTCGGGGCGCCGCCGCCGATGCCAACCATCAGGCCAATCCTGATGTTGGGGAATGAATGAACCATATCCCTGGCAACCGTCGCTGCCGAACTGGTTCCATATTCACCATCTGGAAGCACCGCGATGACCACGTTATGCTGCCCAATCCGACCAAAGGCGTAGCTGTTGTTGTCATGTACAGCAGCGCTGATTCCTTCGGCGTCGTGTTCCTCGTCTAGGAATTCCTGTGCGGCGACGAACTCGGGCTTGATGGCGCAAATCCAGCCGACAGTGTACTGTTCGGCAGACATTGTCAGTGTCGGGTGAAGAGCGAGAAGGGGAATTCAGAGTCGAGTAGAAAGCGCGCGCGCATCAAGATGGACATGGCAAAGAAAATTGCGCAAGACTGCCATCAATAATTTGAAAATGCAGGCAGCGAAGATTGAAGGAAGGACCAGGCTAAGGATGAACTCCGGCCACACTGCCCTTTAGTATGGAGACATGGGATTGATTCTCTCCCTGCTCAACTGGGTCGGGACGTGGCCTGCAGATATGCCCCCTAATTGCTTTGGCGAGGCGAAGCAGGGGCTCGACAGTCAAATCAGAGTCCATGGCTTGCAAGAGAAAGTGGGAGGCCAAGTGTGCACCGAATGACAACGCTTGATGTCCCCTGCGTCTCACTGCATCTGCCGGGAATAATACTGTCACACCATCAGCACCACTCTCATCGTTCTGTCTACAGTGCTGTCCAATGATTAGGCAGGAGAAGTGGTCGTGACTGTCACTGTGCCGCATTCGACATACTTCAGCTGGGCAAGCCCAGAGACAGCCTAATTTCAATTTCGCAGCTTACGCCAGCCTGAAGACTTAGCTCTCGCGTCTTGACATCATCAGGGTCGAACAACGTTGTAGTTAAACCATCAGCAATCTGTCAGGCATGGCAGATAAACCGAATGCCAATTTGAAGAGCAGAAGGGCAGATGAGGAATCTCTCGAGAGCCTCCAAGAATCCTTGGGCCACATCTCTCAGTATTGGAAATGCTCAAAAGTTTGGCTGGAGACGGTCTCAAAGTGGTCTTATTAACCCTCTCCATTCCTGTACATAGAGGGCAGGATGCCTCAGTTAGCTAGCGATCCTTGTCTATCATTAGGCCAACTGAAGTCAACCTCCTCCATGCAAACATGGTCTAAATTCTGTAAGTGGTAGAATGAAGGTGCGAGTTAGATTAAATTGATCAAGAACGCATCCACAAGGCGTAAGCAATTGCGTCGAACCCGAACCCATCGAGGCACCCGATCTTCTGGAACAGGAGAAGAAAAGGATTATGTTCATTCATGAGGTCTCTGCGAGTCTATTCGAATAACCTGAAACTGATTAGGGATTACAGTATGAGCAGAAAGCCTGGTGATTTTGATGATGAGACTGTAAGGTCGCACCCAGTCGGCGTGGGTGGCCTACTTATCTGAGGGGTCCAGCGGAACTCTGCTGCAGCTAATCGCGGATGCGATGACGTCCGCAGGGTTCTAGCGCATTGTTTTTAGGGTTGGTCTCTGTGGAAGACTGAATTCAGAGCAACTGGGGTTCAGGGAAAAGCTTCACGCAGGCTTTTGTTTTAGTGCTGGCGCTTACACTGACAGGCCTGTGAGGTCATGAGCCCACCGCGACTTGCTCTTCCTCATCACAGGCATCTTTCTACTAGGTCAACTCAGCTACATGGATGCCTACATGGATGCGAGACTTGGGCGAAGCAATTACACTTACGTATTTTACTGCCATCTGCTTCTTATGCATGACTAAGTTGGTGCTTGAGGCGTCTAATATAAACGGCGGGGGGCGGCGGGTGCGGGGAATATTTTAGAGCCCGTGACACTAAGTGCTTCGTGCCATCCAAACACTGATTCTGCGAACGCCGCGGCGTTTACAAAATTTGGCATGCAACATCTCTTTCACCATTCATGTCATGAAATCGCAATGACGAACATCCAGCCCGGGCAAGAAGCGCAACAGGGGAAACCACCCCAGCTGCCAAATTCGGATCCAGAGAATGCCTCCATGCAAGATCGGGCTATGGAGCAAATTGCCAGCAGTTACCGGTCCGGCAAATCGGTGGCGGCCGATAATACAGGCCAATACCGCACTGCGTGCTTCAGCTGTCGGGCAGCGAGACAGCGCTGTGATCGGCGGAAGCCCTGGTAGGATGCCTTGCGTATTGATGGTCTGCCTATGCCGGTGCTGACCTGCTCTGCAGTTCGCGATGTACTTCGCAGGGGCAGACATGCAGTTACCCTCTTCGATCTAATAGAGGCCGTAAAGAAGGCAGTACCAAGTAAGTTCACTGCATCTCATCGATGACAAGCCATGCTCAAATCCAGCCAGTAAACCAGACAGTCTCGAGAAGCTCCTAGCTCGCATAAACGAAAGCCCTGTGAAGGACCAAGTCATCGCAGCCATTGTCAAGTCTCTGAACAATGGCTCAGACAACTTGTCCCCGCCCTTGACTGATTCGCCTGGTTTCCAAAATCAAGGGCTTGAAATGTCTGTCAACACGACTACCCGCTCGGAGAGCCCTGATTTACCAGACACTACTCAAGTACCATGCCCGTGCTTCAAACTTGAGAGGGAGAGTCACGTAGTATCCCCCTTACAAATCATGGCAGCGGCTATTGCTGCGGACCTACCAACAACATCACTGTGCCCAAGTCACACATCTCGTTCCAAAGACGGAAATGGCTTGGATGAGCGTCTAGTGGAGTATCTTAGTAAGATGCTCTCAAAGCTTCTACCGTTGGATAACTTGCTGATGCTAGTCGACCTGCAGCTCCTCGATCAACTCATCAGAAAGATTGGCACGTGTTGGCATCTCAGTCCAACAATACTACGTTGAAACTGGAGTCAACAGCATGCGATCCTGTAACCGCTCGTCTTGTCGACCAAAGCGATGTCTCGCTCTATTTCGACTTGTACGTGGTTCTTCTACGAATGCTATCGCGAGTACTGATCAAACCTCTCATGCAGGTTTTTCAAAATGCGCAACCCACTAGTAGGACTGCTTGATCCTGTCCTCCACACCCCTGAAAGTGTTTACAATGCATCTTTCACTCTCTTTTCTGTCATTTGTGCTCTCGGTTGCGCAATATCAACTCGGCCTCGTGATCGTATACTGTACCCAACGCTTCTCTCCCTGGCTGAGGCGAGCATGATGTGGTCCATTGCTGCATCTGTGAAATCGCTCGAAATCATTCAAGCGATTATCTGCATGAAGTACTGGGCACCATTGCACCAAAGACAGGCAGACGATCCATATTGGCTTCATCTGGGTCATGTACGTCGACGTCGTGTTCTGGTTGGAGCCTTGGTCGATTTGAACTGACAAACTACCAGGCGGCGCAGCTTGCGAAAGAACTGGGGATCAATCGGCCTTCTGCCGTGACTGAACAAGCCAACGCGCTAGCCCCGGATGCCAGCAACGAGTTCAAAGAACGAATGATGCGCAATGTTGAAAGAACTTGGCTGTATGTGTTCATCGCCGACAAAAGCTTTGGCATTACGACGGGTCGCTCCCTCATTGTCGGTTGGAACGAGTTGCCGCCATGCCCCTGTCAGTGGTGGAAAAAGCCTATGACGAATCCATCAGACCGCATGATCAGTGGGCTCATTGAAATAAGGGTCCAATTGGTAAGTTTTCACTCTGCATTCATCCTAGGAGTGACACTAAACATGCAAGTAGCTGGAAGCCTTGAAACAGCTAGGGCGAGGTATCAAAACCCCTGAAGCTGTTCTAAGCTGGCACTCAAAAGCCTTCGAAGCCCTGGAGAGCACTCGAAATAAGGCATGCTCAACAGATGACCCCCGAATCGCAACCTCGCTGCCCATTTTGGCTTTCTACATGGACCACAGTATCATGGTCCTGAACGCACAGGCAATGAGAGACCTCAAAAACATTGACGAAGAGGTCAGGTGTGCAGAATTTCTAACAGTATCTCGGAGGGCATTCGATGTGGCGCGGCGCGCGTTGGAGCTTGCGCTCTCAGACCCAACGATGCGCGAACTCAGATTAGGATGGCATAACAACCAATTCATCATGGTTGCGCATGCAATGACGGAGATCCTTCATGTAAGTTGAAATCGAAAAGGAGGAGAACGAGCGACCTCTCTCCGGCTGTTTGAAAACCTATAGCTGATCATGATGCTCAGGCTATCAAGCGCGGAAATCTGCCTCCGGAGGATGTCGTTGATGCTGCGACCAAAGTACGGTCGGTACCTAGGTATTTGGAAGACATGGCGCAGGAACTTCCAGATACATCTGCTGTTCACTTTTATACCGCATTGTCTCGCGTTTTTGCTTCTCAGGTCGAGAAGTTCGTCAACGTTGAGGACCAGAACACAAATCAAGACGCCAGTATCGACACAAATCTGTTCGTGCCAGAATGGCTGAAAGAGGTGAATGGAGGCTCTTTGGATCCTGCTCTGTGGTTTGATGTAGGGTTTCTGAGTGTAGAACAACCAAGCTTTGGCAGTGCAGATCTTGGAGGAGTAGAGGACTTGGACAACTTGACATTCAATTGATTATTTGACAGACTAGACGGACACTTTGGACGACGAAATCAAAACGAGAAAATCAAAACTTGATTCAAGACATGTTGAGCCGTCTTTCTAATCTATCAAGACTGGTTTTTGAACGCTAGTCTGATAAAATTCCTTCCACTTTTGTAACACCGACCTAACATTTTTCGACTTTGTCGCAACCACGAGTAGAATCATTACTAGAACCGTCGTCTACCTTGCGACAATAGCACGAGGAGCGCACCGTTACGTCTGCCAAGTTGACCGCGAGCTTGAGTGGAAGCTCAAGCAGCCGTGCCTCGTCATTCCGACCGAGACGTGTCAGACATTCGTGGTACCCATGCAGTGCCCAGACGTTGTTGGGATGTTGGTGGCCGCGAGGTAGTGAGGCAAGGAAGCCCAGATCCTCAGCGTACGTCTTAGCCGCCTCTTCGACGTGACCTTGTTCTAGAGACAATGCAGCGTAGGCGTGGCGAGTCGGCTGCAACCACCCCCAAGGCTCACTATACTTGAGGTTGTCATCAAGTTGGATCGACTTCCGCAAGTGCTCAAATGCCAGATCAAAGTTTCCTCGGCGGTACTCCAATTCACCTGCAAGCATAGCCTCGCCAACCTTAAGTGTCTCGACACACTGGTTGGGATAGTCGTATCGCGATGAGGGCACATTGGCATAGGCCTTGGCGAAGAGTTTCTGTTCACTCTCGGCCTCTGGTACACGACCTGTGGCTGCAAATGCCACTCCCCTCG